GACACCGAGGGTTGCAATCCCGTTACCGGTCAGTAAAAAAAGACAAAAAGGAAAAAAAAAATTTAAAAAAAAATAAACCTAATGATCATTTTTATAAGCATGGCTTAATGCTTTTTTGGGAGAATGCTTATTTCTTTTCATTTCAGAAGTAGTGCAAGCTTATTAAAGAAAACATTAGAAAAATGGGTTGGAAAAAGGATATTAGCATATCATCTAAAAACAATGGTTAACATTTTGGCATATTTTCTTCCTGTCATGTTCTATGTATAAAAAAAGGTTTTGTGTTTTCAAAGATGAATAAATATACTGTTAATACATTATATACTGTTATAAATGTTATATTCATGTTATATGTTTTTCAATTAACATGTTCAAATGGTAATCACATTCTTTTATTACAGCATATATAACCATACCTTCAAATTTACTTTTTTATTAGGTTTTTGTTCAAGTCTTTGTTTTGTCTGAGTTTTTGTTTTAAGTGAGATTTATTCTATTAGGGGGTGAGGGATGTGGGGTGGGGAGAAAGGGGAGGTGGCTGACTGGTACAGGGATTCAAACCCAAGTCCAAACCTTTGACCTTGGTGTTATAACACTGCACTATAACCAACTGAGCCAACTGGCTAGCCCCCATACCTATCATTTTTTGAATCAAGTTTTATCCATATTTGAGATTATGTCCTTATTATATGTTCCCAGAAATGGCAGAGTAAAAAGATCAAACTCTTAAAAACTGGTCTTCACATAAGTTACAGCTATGCAGACTATAACCAGCAGTGCATCAACATACCTGTTTCACCATCCTTATCAATATTGTGTACATCTTGTTATTTTTCACCTATCAAACTGACTATTTCATTTTAACTTTTGTTCTACAGGTTCATTCACAGATTTTCATTACATACCAGGACTCGCCTCCATGTAAAACACATAAAAGTCTCAGAGAAATGTCAATTGCACCTAACACTGGAAAGGCTTACCTGAAATGCTATGAGATAGCACAATGCAGCCAACTCAGACAGAGCTCGCCACTGCACATCATTATGCTGACCCATCTTCAAAAGCAGGGAACCAGCATGCATGTAGAAATGTCCTTTCATTTCTAAGAAAGTAGCTGACAATTCATCATTTCCATCCACAGATTTCACACACTGAAGAGCACTATCAAAACTGTAATATTAAAATATAAAACAGGTATTCCTCATCTACTGCATTATGAATAATCATGGTTTCATTACTTAATTCAAAATAAAATTAATAAAGGGATTTATTTCAAGCTTCATTTTCCACATTCAAATAGTCTTAAACTATGAATCTAGTGCTTATTTTTTATCCTGCATATACAAGCTTAACCTCTAAAAGGATGTCTTACTCCAAAATAGTTATTGCTAGCCCTCCAATCATAGAAAAGATACAAATCAAATAAGATTACTGATTATAGGTAGATATTTCATAATAAACCAGTAAAAAGTTGGGAAACTGAAGTATTTTCTAGTTTCTTCTTGATCAAATGGTTTCATTATTTAACTCAAAGATGGAATTTCTCAAATTAGACATGCTATTTCTAAATTATAAGTAAATAACTAGCAGATATTTGAGTATCAATACTACAATTGCTCTTATTATGTAGATACCTACAGAGTTAAACAGCATTTCTTACTATTATTCATAATCTATATTCTAATTAGTGTTTCAAAATCCTAAGGATCCTCAGAATCTTCACTTTGTAAGAAAAGCAAAAGCAAACACTCAAATGTGAAGCATAATTTTAAAATAACTTATAATTTAAAAATCGGAGCAACAGGGATTTCTTCTAGCAAATGAGGTCTGAGGACCTCGCAGATTGAATGAGGAAGTTGATAAGAATTCAGCTGTGTTCTATTAGGCCAGACACTAAAGAGATTTACAAAAAGGCAAAACAATGCCACTCTTCTCAATACTTATGTTGTTTTAGAAAATAATTACTTTTCCAAAAAAGGCTATGATTGTTAGCATGTAATGGGATTATTATATTTCTTAATTAAATATTTTTTAATTTCCAAGTTTCAAATTTTTAACATGATAAATACCAATGGACATAACCCACAAAGATCTCTGGGTTCCTCAAAAAGTGTAAAAGGATCTTGTGACCAAAATATCTGAGTATATAAACCATAAGAAATAAAACATCCTAAGTATTTTCTAAAATAATACAAAAGCTTAAGTTACTTCTTTTGGATACTGCCCTTATCCTCCCATTTTAGGACACTAAGCACTTTTTACAGAAAACTATCTACACCCTAAACCTCAGTGAAATGAATGTTTTTTCCATATGCCAGATGGACAAACAAAAATTCATTTCCAAACAAATGGACAGTCCAAATCAGGGATTGGCAAACTTTTCCTATAAAGCATCAGATACTAATCTGGCTTTGTAGGCATACAGTCTCTGCCGCAACAACTCAAGTCCACCCTTATAGTATGTAAGCTGCCATAGACAATAAATAAACAAAGATGCATGTTGTGTTTTAATAAAACTTTATTTACAAAATCAGGCAGCATGCCATATATGTCCCACAAGCTCTAATCAACCCCTGCTCTTAACCAACATCCTTATAAAAATCCACATGATGTTTTTGTTCGACAAAATTTATTTTTCATAAAATGGATATATTTGTTCTCAAAATCAAAGTTCAGAAAAAAAGAAAAATCATATATTATATTTGAGTTATTTTGTCTCTAAGCTAAAACTGTTTTCTGAAATAGTAGTGATGCTAAGTGGTTATACTAGTACATCTGAACCTAGCCATCTGATAACAGAGGAAAAACTTTATCCTCTGGTTTTCACTGAAGATTATCCCATTTTTAAAATTAAAATATGGAATAGCAGTTAGAACAGTCATTTTAAGGCTTGATTCTTTATTAAGCATGCCAAAACTGAATATTTAACTATAGAGTTGTCTAAAAATCAAAGTCATACAAAACCAATTATAATATCCCCATAAAAGAAGTAAAATTAAGATTCCCTCCTAGTGGTTCAGTGCATCGAATCCTGGGTACACTATAGAAATAATGATGCAGCAAAGAAGTTTAGACCAATAAACTGTGAAAAGAAAATCTATAATTTATACTAAAGAACCCTCCTCAAAGTTAACATACCTTTCCAGTAATTCTCTACTTTCCTGCACATCTCTAGTGGAAAGTGTAAGAAACATAAGGTTAGCATAGGCCAGAAGTAAGTCTTCATTTGTTGCTTGCCAGTTACTTTTATCAGACTCCAAACATTGCAAAGATTCCAGATATTCCTATTTTGTAGAAAGAACAATATGTTACAAAACTTTACCAAATGTTAAAAATTGACTATTTTATGCCTACAAATTACTCTACCCACTCTTAGCACATTTGTGAAACCATACTGATCTTTACATAAGCCTTATAAATAAAAACACCAAATATATATATATTTATCATTTTTATTTTCCCAATTGATCCTGTAAAAATTTCATTTTATACTCAGTCTACATAAATGAACAAAATTTAAGTCTTAGAGGGCACTGCTTAAGTACAATAAGATGTATGGTAATTGTCTACATAGAATTATAGAGACCCAACAGCTTTTACCTACCTTAAGAGTCTGTACAACACATGAATTCCACTCTAAACTTGAACGCAAAGCTATGTTCCTCTCTGCCTCATGGCAGTGGGTCACAGCATCCTTCAATCTTTTATTTGAGCGATACAACTCCACTAGTCGAATGTTCACATGGACATCATCAGGTCTTGCATAAAGTTCTGACTGAATCAAGTCAAAAAGTTTATTCCATCCATCTTCACCTTTACAATCTAAAAGCTGTTCCTATTAGAAAAAAAAAATCGTTAATTTAGAATAACACCTGTGCAATTTTAAATAAGTCACAGTCCCTATGAGCACCATTCCATTATGTCTAGCTTTAGGAAGGTGACACCAGAACTATCATCCTAAATAATCAGCCCCTTCACAGTGTTGCTTCCAGCCCAGAAGTTAAACCTTTAGAATTTTATGTGGGAAGAAGCATCTGAGATTATTGCAGTACCTGTGGTTGCCTATGCTCACCTCAGAGACTACAAGGACTAATGCCCACGTCCCTGTATACCTCAGTCACCACCAGAAGCCTAGGTCTCCCCAGTTAATACTCACCACTAAAGTCTATTTTCAAACTGTTCTGTATCTCCCTAAATCTGATTCAGTCCCCCACCACCTCTGATCCCACTTGCTCTGCTATCTTCATCATCTTCTCAAAGCACTGTCTTCGCCTCCTGGCCTTAACTGAATGGGGTAACATCTCATGAAAGACCCCACCACCTATTTGCCATGATAGCTTTTTCTCTCCTAGCCTGCATACAAGAAGAGGAAGTGGGGTTGGTGGTCTACTCACTCTCCCATTGCCACCTCCAAATCATATCTCCCCCCTTTATTGCAACTGGAATAACATACTCTTCGTTCCTAACAACTGCCACTGGTACTACCAGTTGAAAAATATACAAGATATAAAATAGCTTAGCTACTCAGTTCTTTAATCTCATCTCCAGAGATGTCCTCCACTCCAACCTCAGCCATCCAATTGCCATTACACAGTTCTTCAAAATCTGTATTTTGGTTATACCACTCAGACCACCTCACTGGGGACCCGTGTACCCTCACTGCCACATATATACTCCTCCACCACATGAAAAGTTCCCTTCAGTACATTGATATTATCAGGTTTAATTACCCATAAAACACACACACAAACTTTCCTTCTTCTCTGTCAAGCTAAAATGCTATAAATCCCTAATATCCATAATTATTGCTTGCTTTATAGATTCCTTCTTCAGTTAATCCCCTCTCCTTCCCTCAGGAGAATGCTACCAATTGCTTTCTCTGCACCTACGCACTGTTGAACAACTGGAGGTAGGCATATGGAATTTGGGAAATCACAACCCCAGGCTAAGTGATTTCACTTTTATTATCTCAAACTTCAAACTGATACTGCCTGGTCTCCAAAAAGTTCATGGAATGATTTGTATTATCTTTTAATTCTATTTTTCCACAAACTTTTTTTTTTTTTTGGTCCTTTTTGAGACCGGCCACACCGCGCTCAGCCAGTGAGTGCACCGGCCATCCCTATATAGGATCCGACCCCGCGGCAGGAGCGCTGCTGCACTCCCAGTGCCGCACTCTCCCGAGTGTGCCACGGGCTCCGCCCTTCCCCAAACTTTTTTTTTTTTTGGCCCTTTTTGAGACCGGCCACACCGCGCTCAGCCAGTGAGTGCGCCGGCCATCCCTATAGAGGAGCCGACCCCGCGGCAGGAGCGCTGCTGCACTCCCAGTGCCGCACTCTCCCGAGTGTGCCACGGGCTCCGCCCTTCCCCAAACTTTTTTTTTTTTTGGCCCTTTTTGAGACCGGCCACACCGCGCTCAGCCAGTGAGTGCGCCGGCCATCCCTATATAGGATCCGAACCCGCGGCAGGAGCGCTGCTGCACTCCCAGTGCCGCACTCTCCCGAGTGTGCCACGGGCTCAGCCCTTCCACAAACTTTTTGAAGTACTCTCATATTCAATCTCTAACAGACTCGCTTTCTCCATTCCCTAAAAAGTTCACTTTATACCTATTTTCCTCAACTTTCCCTTACTTTCCTTCAACCTCCACTTTCAACTATGTCCTTGATTCATTCTTCTCTGAGAGAAGTGAAGCCACCATATGTAAATTCCATTTCACCTTGCCTACTTGCACTCATCTTCTCACCATTCCCTCTGCCTAGCAAAGACCATGCCCTCCATTGGTGCTGTGCTTCATTCCCTTCTCTCCTCCATCAATCTCTCCCTTCTTCTGGATCATTTCCATAAACTTATTCCTAGCCTCTCCATATCTGTAAAAGAAGCTGTAGTCTTCAATTATATGTTTAAATAAATAAAAGAACACCACCATTATGAGTGTTTTTAAAAAATTCTATTCTCGGGCCGGCCCGGTGGCGCACTGGAGAGTGCGCCGCCTGGAAGGGCGGTGGTGCTCCCACCGAGGGTTCGGATCCCATGTGGAGACCGGTTCCCGCTCACTGGTTGAGCGCGGTGCGGGCGCAACACCGAGGGTTGTGATCCCGTTACCGGTCAGTAAAAAAGATAAAAAAAAAAAAAAAAAAAAAAAAGGAAAAAAAAAATTCTATTCTCATACTCAAGAGAAAAAAGCCACCAAATATATTTTCATTTTCTCACCAATAATATTTTCAGTCATTAAATAGATGCCAGAAAATTATTTACCTTAGTCTTAAATTTTAGGAGAAATAGCGTTACTTTGCATAACAGTTATAAATCTCATGACTTCCACTTCAAAAATGGAAAATAATCTGATACAAAAAAGGTTTAGCTCAAGATAGCAGTGCCTTAATGGGTTATTAAAGAATATCAGGATGCTTCAGAAGCATCTCTCTAACTTTTGTTATAATGCAAGAAAAATAATCCCCTGCCATTATGTTCCTTAACACCACTGTCACCAAATGGATCGGACTGCCATGCTAATATGGAAATTATGTTTGAGGCATAACCAAAAGATAATATGGTAAAGAAATCTGCACACTTGGATCTAACATTTTAGACTAACATTTAAAATCGAGATGGCTTATCACTTGGGGGGGAAATCTTACTGTTAACATTTATCTCTAGAAGCTTTTTAAATGCTTTTTTCAGATTTTGAAATCTGTGTATGATTATTCATAAAAGATAAACAAAAATAGCCAACAACTGGAAACAACCAAAATGCCCCTCAAAAGTGAACGGTTAAATTGTGGATTACATCCATACCATGAAATACTACTCAAAAGTAAAGGAGCAAACTACTAACACACACAACTTGGATGGATCTCAAAAAGCATTGTGCCCTATGTAGAAAACAGCCAACCTCAAAAGGTCACATACTTCATAATTCCATGTATAAAACATCTTGAAATTACAAAACTACAGAGATGGAGAAAAGATTAGTGGTTACTAGAGGTTAGGGGATGGTGGGGAGGAGGGGTAGGTGCAACTATAAAAGTTGCATGATGAAGATCTGTGTTAATGAAATAGTTCTGTATCTTGGCTGCAGGGGTGGTAACAGGAGTCCACATGTGTGATAAAAATGAAAAAAGTATACACACCCTCTGTACCAGTGTCGGGTCCCTGATTTTGATGTTATACGATAGTTATATAAGATACAAACACTGGAAAAAACTGAATGAAATGTACACAGAACCTTTCTGGACAATCTTTGAAATTTCCTGTGAAAAAAATCTATAATTAAAAATAAAAAAGAAAAGGTAATTAATAAACTACACGAGAGTACTTCAAAAAGTTCATAGAAAAATAGAATTGAAAGATAAGTATGAATCCTTCCATTAACTTTTAGAAGTACCCTTGTATTTTATTCAACAAAGAATACCAATCAGGACCAATTAATACATTAGAAAGAACTTCCTCTCATTACCTCTAACATACTAGAGAGACCATCTTTTGCTTGAAAACTTCACTATCCCACAAGACAATCCTTTCCATTTTTAGACATTAGTTATCAGAAAACTCTTCTTTATATTATCCCTAAATTGTTATCCTGTAGGTAATTTTCACCCAAAGAAGCAAAATTTTATACCAGACGTGGCTTAACTTAAATCTTAGCTCCACCATGAGCTACAAAACTGTGAATTCTCTAAAATACTAATTATTCCAGAAGGATAAATAAAATATCACCTGTAAAACATAACAGTGCCTAATAAGACGGACAATACTCAGAAAGGTTTTAAAGATATTTTTAAAAGAAAAACTTTAAAGGAAATATGCACTGTGGTTTAAGTTTGTTACCAAAAAGTAACTTAAACTCCAAATATTAGAAACAGCTATATCTTGAGTTTTCTCCTTAGATATGTTTTGTTTGGTTTAGTTTTTTACCTTTAGTTTATAAATTGCAGGACTTCCTGGGAAAAGTTTAGCTGCTCTTTCAACCCAATATTGTGCTCTTCCATCAGTAACATCATTTTTACAGAGCAATTCTGCAATCTTTAACACAAGATCTTTTTGTGTTGGGTTTAATTCCACAGAACGCTGATATCAGAAAGAAATAATAAGTCAATAAATAATAATTACATGTATGAGTACAGACACTCAGACAGAGGTTAAAAAATTGTCACTGCAACCATTAAACACTATTCCTAGATGACACCATACTGTTTCAAAGTTGTTCAAGTGTCTCGGAGTGTTTTTTTTAATGAATCAAATAAAAATTATATTTTTATTAAGTGAATGTAAAACACACACACACACAAGAACATCACTTCTGATCATGTTAAAATTAAAATTTAGAGGTGTTAAATTATAGTGTACTGCCAGCCAAATAATTTTACCCCTTATTTCAATCTATGTCATTTCATGGTACTATGATTCCAATGCTTGCTTTCATAACATACATAAAATATATTTGAATTATTCATTATAAGTTTCTCTGGGCATCATGTGTTTGGCTGTGCAAAGGCTATATTTTAACCCCACAATTTACCTTATAACATTCAACAGCTTTGTCTGTGTTTTCTTCTGCTTCATAAAGAAGACCCAGAAATCTATGAGCTTTAGGATCCCGCTCTTGCACATTAATATATGTAGATATGTATCTGTTTTAAAATAGTAATACAGAAACAAATAATCTTTAAATTACTAAATTTAGAACTGTACTTAAATGCTAACTGAAGAGTACATCTTAAACCAAAGCAACCACTAAATTAATTTATATTGGTATTCAATTATTGACTACCCTTCTTAAACTGGAACATGCAGATAACTCAAAAGTATTCACAGAAAAAAATGAATAATACTCAAACACAAACACACACAGAATTGAAAACATACTCATTTTACCATTAAATACTACATTTATCAAATGTTTTTCCCAGTGTTATCCACAGATAAGAAATGGACATATTTCTTCCTGATCACATTTTGGTAAAGTTTTGAATATAAATTAGAAAAGTAATTATAGTAAGGATTTTTAAAGTTATTAAAATGCAAAATACTAAAGAGCAAGTTTCCCAAGTAACAACTAAGAGAACATATTTATCCTTTAAACAAGAAAATAATTTTTAAATGTACTATACCCAGCTAAAATCGAACAGAAGAAAAACTACTAACTATACTACCAAATACAGGTAACTCCCATTTCTTAAATTAAGTAAAAACTAAAAATGAGTAAGTATCCTCTAGGTTCAGTGACAGTGTTATCATAAGAGAAATTGGATCAAAGCCCAAAACTAAGAGGGAAAAGTCCCACATTAACAAGGAACAAGGACTAACGGTCCCACTGCTGCTAGTTATATGAGGTACTACCATTTTCCTTTCTTATAAGCATTTCTTTCTTCCCATCAATGCCTTTAATAGCCTGCCTCCCTCCAAACTTCCTGTTTTAAGCAGCTCCAAGTCAGGAAATCAGCTTCTCGGTCCTACTGGTGAAACAGAGCCTCAGCCTGTCACATACTAAATTGATTAAAGATCTTTTACACAAGCTATTCTCCTGGCCAATTTGCTGCTATTTTCCTGCAAATTAAAGTATCAGGTATCTAACCTGGAAGAAATTAAGATATAGGCATGGTCCTCTTTTATTCTAATGCAGGAGGATTTTTAGAAAAAGGGTTTTAAGCCAATTTTTTGCCCTAGGAATAAACAAGCAGCAGCTTGCAGAAAATACTCATTCTAGGTTCAATCTCAATGAAATCTAGGCAAAATCTCGATGAAACCCTTAAAATCAGTCAGAAAGTGATGAATTCCTTATTCCAGGATACACTTAGAGAGAATTGCTAAAGAACATAATATTTTTACCTATTTCAAAGAAGATCATGAGGTAAGGCGCCAATTTTAGAAAACTAAAGCATGTTTACAGTTTGGTACTTACTTTTTAGCAAGATCATATTCTTTAGCTTCATAGTACAGCTTCGCAAAATAAAATCCTTTCATTGACTTCTAAAAAAAAAATTCAGTTTTATTTTTCATATTTTGAAATATTTTGCAACTTTTAAGTACTAAAATTTTGTCTTAATGGTTAATATTAAAATATTTAATTTTTGTTCACTTATAAGGCAAAAAAATGGCCTGAAAAATTCATGTATACTCTAAAAATCATGATTCTGTGTTTTATAATTCCTATCATAAAACAAAAAAGTATACTCAAGAATAGCAAGACAAGCACATCAGAAGTTAAGAATTTATATCAGCCTTGGAAACCTTAGAAACCACAGTGCAGCACTCTCTCACTTGAAAAATAAGTAAACAGAAATCAGCCTTTCTGGGGACAGGGAAAGGCATCCCAGAAACCTCTCCTCTCCTATCATGTTTAAGCCTCCATGGGGAAAAATAAGCATGTGCTTCAGACCCATTAAGGCAGTGAGGATTCCCTGGGCCAGGTATTGTTCTCTCTATGGATCAGTATATTACACTCAAGAAATCAAAAAGGCAGAAATAAAAATTAAATTCTTCAGGTGAAAAACAAAGTCCACACCCTAGCCTCTCTATTTCCATAAACTCTGTAAGTCCAGAATGGTGATACACACCAGATATGTTATATCCATGCGATAGAGTACACAGCTATCAAACATCTTATTTTTGAAGACTATATGAGGACATAGGAAAAATCTATATATTGATTTTAAAAAACAGTCTGCAGAGTAGTATATTTTCAACTATATGTTTCTGAGTACGAAAACTGTATGAAACTGCTATCTCTGAATTATAAAATTACGTTGTATTTAAGGATTTTTTTTGTAGTTTTCAAATTTTCTATAATAAACTCCTATTACCCAGGACAGACATTGACACAATTTCTGCTCATGTTCCCAATGTCAAATGAAGAAATTCAATGAAAGCAGTTAATTGGTGAAAAACTTATTTTTCTTCACCTAATTAGAGGAGAAAAGAGTTTTTTCCCCTAAATTTTTAGTTAATTTTTAAGAGCACTACATACCTTTTCTGAAGGAAGAAAAAGGTGTCATTAAAATCAATCAGTGATAGGGTTAAAATTCCAAAAAGAATAAACTCACTGATATGAAATATTACATTTAAGTACAAACCTTAAGTTTGCAAGCTCTGGCACCCACCTGAATTCTTTTCACCTTTGTTCTTTTTTAAGAAATCTTGCATTTTTTAGGAATACTAAACATAGTCTTTTTCTTATGACCTACAAAATTCATCATTCTGCCTACTATTAAACAGGCACTATTAAAGGCACTGGGGAATCAGCAGTAAACACAAAGCCTCTGTTTTCATGAAGCCTGCATTTTAGTAGAGGTGACAAGCAAATCGATATCTATATGGGAGCAAGGAAAAGGGTGCTATTTTACAGTATTTCATTAATTCTTTACAGTATTTCACATTTTAACAAACTTAAAATGAGTATTCATCTCACAAATCAGAAGTATTCTAACATTGCGCTGATTTAGTTAGCAGTGTTTCTTCTTCCTTAGTTGATAATAATGGTGAGGCACAAACAATGTCACCTTAGATTCTATAAGAATGACAGGTATGTCAGGAAAGGTCTCTTTGAGGGGCCATTTGATCACAAACCTGAATAAAGTACTTATCCAGGGAAGACTAGGCATCTGAGGAACTATAATAATTTAACTAATCCCCACTGTTTACTATATAATTTGTTTCAATTTTTCCTTCTTATGAAACCTGTAGAAAACACTCTTAAACCACACCATCTTTGTGAAATACTCTTCTCATGACTCCCATGCTGTCCTCAGTTTGACTTCTGTGCTGGTGGCTGTTCCTTCTCCAACTCACAGGCTCTTCCTTTCCTCTCACTGACTTCCCCAGGAGTTGGTCCTAAGCCCTCTTCCTCTCAGGAAATCTCATCTGTGGCGTACACTGAATCTCACCTATGACTACTGATTATATACAGACTATCAAATATATATCTTTGGCTCTCACCTCTCTTTAGCTCTAAACTCATATGCAAAATATCACCAACAAGACCTGTAAATTCCACCTTCTATGTATCTCAATCCACCCATTTTTTCTACATCCACTGCTACTACCAAAGTCCAAGCCTACTATGACCTCTCTCTGGGACTATTAAAAAGCTAATTCCTGGGCCGGCCCGGTGGCGCACTGCTACAGTGCGCCGCTTGGGAGCGTGGTGGCGCTCCCACCGAGGGTTCAGATCCCACATACAGACCGGTTCCCGCTCACTGGCTGAGCGAGGTGCGGGAGCAACGCCGAGGGTTGCGATCCCGTTGCCGGTCCCGGTCCAGTACGGGCGTGACACTGAGGGTTGCGATCCATTGCCGGACACGAAAAAAGAGAAAAAAAAAAAAAAAAAAGCTAATTCCTTCCTGTTTCCCTCTGTATCTCTTTCCTCCAATCCAATCCATTCAACAGAGGAGTTTTAAGACAAGCCATGTTATGCCTTTGCTTAAAATTTTAAATCCTAGGGCCGGCCAGTGGCTCACTCGGGAGAGTGCAGTGCTGATAACACCAAGGCCACGGGTTCAGACCCTATATAGGGATGGCCAGTTGGCTCATTGGCTGAGCATGGTGCTGACCACACCAAGCCAAGGATTGAGATCCCCTTACCAGTCATCTTTAAAAAAGAAAAAAATTTAAATCCTTCCATAGCTTCCATCACAATTTGAAAATACCCGAATTTCTCACCAAAGACTGCCATGATACGGCACCTGCCTACCTCTCCAACTTCACTTCTGCCCCTTGCATCATAGTACAGCCAGTGACTAAAACCAGATGCATCTCTCCAACTGGTAGTCCTGGCAGTCTATTTAAAACAAAGGCCAAAAGCAGAGATTGACATGATGTGATTTCTGTCCAGTAATCCCAATATCAGAGTGAAGAAATTCAACAAAGGTAGGTAAGTAGCAGAGTAACTTGTGATTTTAAGGTAGCCAAATGCCTCATCAACTGTCCTAGCGAAACCAGAGCTAAGGGAATGGACTTGAGAGAATCAGCTGAAAAAGAAGATGAGTCTAGTATGGCACAGTGAAGAGACATGATAGGCAAAGACTAAGTAAGAGGCCCCCAGTGCCACTGGCTCCATCTCACTTTCCTCCTACAACATGGGAAGGTAGGGTTGGGTCCAATACACCTGTCAAAAAGGTAACACAGGTGTCCTAAAGTCAGGCTCAGGGAACACAGAAAACTCCAGTGGAGCAGACAGGAAAACATTCACTTTATCTTGATTTTCAGTAGATATACAGACCCTGAAAGTGGGGCCTCCCAATCCTAACTTTTTGGTTTTTGTCAGAAAAGTAGAACTGGCTTTGGGCAGCTGAGTACCTGTAGAAATCCACTTTTGGTTCTTTCTGCCCATTCTTCCCATCTTTGTGAAGGATAATTTACTTATTATCGGACTGTTTGCTCACTAATAGAGCTGGGTTTCGACCTTCATGAGAAAGATTAGTTTTATTCTGCTGATGATGAGTTGTTTACCTAATAATCCTTCACAGTACAAGAGGAACTACAATTAAAACATCTGGTGCATGAGTTACTGAATCAAAGCTAACATCAGTGAGGTTCTGACTGAATGCTTCTAAGAACCTCACATAGGCAGGACAACACAGCAGCACGGTAGTGCATCAGCTGGCTTCTGACTGAAGTAGATCCCCTTCATTGTTATTTATCACAACATCTTGTTTATTTCCTTCATAGCACTGATCCAAGTCATGACTATTTTTATTGTTTTTAGTGAGTGTTTGTCTATCCCTCAAAACTGCAGGCTACACCAGGGTAGGACCCCTGTGGTTTGATCACCACCATGGAACCTAGAACCTAGCACATTACCTGGCAGGTGGTAGGTACTCAATATTTATTGAAAAATGCTTAAAACTTGTGTACCCATGAGTATTTCCTTATAATAAATTCCTAGAAACTAAATAACTAGTTCAAAGATTATAAAAATTTGAAGCTTTTCCTATATTACCAATTCTCCTCCATAAAGTTTACATCAATTTGCTCTCCTACTCAACATTGGAATGCCTAAGAACATATAAAAAGTGGTTTTTTTTATTTCCTCATTCTTGGCTAATTTGGCAGACAGAAGAGGTACCACTGAGTCAACGTGGCATTTCTCTGATTACCAAGGCCATTTTCTATATGCACACTGAAATACTTATAGTATAAATTCTGTATTAATATATTTTAGCCATTCTCATTTTTGAGAGGGCAGAGAGAAAACTGTGTCACTAATTTTTAAGGATTCTTAACCATACTAATATTTGAGGGTTTTTTGCATTTTTCCCAGGTTGTCATTTTTCTCAGTCTTTAATGTGTTTGTGAAATCAGATTTTGATTTTGATTTCTATGCAGTAAAAACAATCTTTGCTGCTTATTCTTTCTAATTATATGCTAAGAAAGGCCTTTCTCATTTAAAATCCATGAAATAGTAACCCATATTTTCTTTCAGCTTCTCTAAAGTTACTTTTAAATTCGAAATTTATTTTTTTTTTTAGAAATTAAGCAACTGTCAGTCATTCAAGCAACATCTATTAAATAATCGATCTTTTCTCTACCTCATTCCATGATTTGGAATGCCAACTAATTCTTATGTGTTATGGTATCTTAATAAAACCTTTCTGCTACCTGCTCCCAATCCTTACCAAAGAAGATAGCCACTTCCCACTGTTGCAAATAAAAAGCTAATTTTTCTAAATCATAAAGCTTATACATGCCAAAGTTAAATTTTAAAAAATTTTAAGGGGCCGGCCCGTGGCTCACTCGGTAGAGTGCAGTGCTGATAAAAAATTTTAAATAGAAAGGTATAAAGTTAGACAAGGCAATTTAATATATTTAACATTTTCATGATAAAAATTCTCAGAAAACTAGGAATATGGATAAGTTCCTCAACATGGTAAAAGCCATATGAAAAGCCCTCAGCTAACATTATACTCAATGGTGAAAGATCAAAAGCTTTCCCCATAAGATCAGGAATATTTTGAAAAGGATGGCCA